GAGAGGTTCCACCCAATTGCAGTCTTTGATCGAATAATCACGAGAGAACAGGGGTTGTTTTTTCAATCTGCTCAATGAATGTGAGGGGTTTGAGCGAATCGAATGAGGGTCTTGAGAGTATTATTGGGGTGGTGGTGGGAGTCGTAAATAGTGTTACTTTCTCTAGCAGGCATCAGTAGTCCTAAACTATTGCCATATTCAGTAAATGTTACAAAAAAATCATCTACATGTTTCCAAGGTCACTAAGAATGAATGTGATATCCACACACAAAAAAAGATGGTCGTGTAAAGCCAGTACACAACTTTGGGTTCCAGCCTCGATTCTCACTCCGACAACTGTCCACATGCCCACAATAAGTTGAGAACCTTGTAAATCTCATATACAACATGCTCTCTCTAGTTTAGCTTATAATCCAAGATGACAACTAGATATGTTACCGATAGGGATATGATGGATCCCGACCTGTCAAGTCATAATAATAATAATAAAACCGTCTTTTATTAGAAAAAACAAATTACAGATAATGCATATCTGTACCTCAGAGCCAGACTAGGTTAAGTCCAAATAAGTAGTTTTAAGATAATTGTATTTGAAATATTTTTCTTGCATTGTGCTGCCTTATTATTACAGATAGATGGAAGCTGCATGTAGCAAATGAAAATTAACAATATTATCATAAGCTTAACATATTGAACTCATTTTTGACAGAAATGGACTTAACCTAGTCTGGCTCTGGGGTGCAGATATATTATTATCTATAATCAGATTAGTGAGCAGCTTAATGGCGAAGTTTAGCTATGGCAGCTATTCTTACACTTAACCATTAACTGCATAAGAATAATAGATGGTAAAAAAGTACAGCTGTAAAGAAACCAAAAAGGAGGAAAATGCTCATGTAACTGATTACAACTTAAATAAAAATTAGCTTGAAAATATAATGCTGGAGAAAAACACCTTTTGAGAATCACCATTGAGCAGAAGGGATATTAAGTGTTTTTTAAAACTATACAGCGGCAGGTTTTTTGTTCTGTAGTCTAAGCTATTGTACAACATGCATGCATTATATGAGAAGGACCTGTTAAAAACAGATGAACTATGAAGTGGCATTGTTAAAGCGAATCTGTTACATTGATGAACATTATACCTAAAAATTAGTTTTTCACGTAAATAAATTGGAGTTCCAGAGACAAGTAACCTATGTATAAAGGTTAGATAGTTGTATTTAACTAAATTTGTCATCTTTAACCAACCTATTAAAGGATAACGATCCGAAACATGATCAAATTTTCTTAAAGTAAATATGAATTGTACGCAGTTATTTTGTACTACAGATATTCTGTTACGACTTGCAACATCCAAACAAGGATGATAAACTAGATTGCAATAATTAAAAATAGATAACACGAAAGATTCACACAACTTTTTCGCACTTTAAAATTCAGCAAATTTTGGTTCGCATGCAGAGTTCTCAGACGGATGTCTTCTTTGTAAGAGGTTATTTAAATGTTCACGAAGCCGCACGTCTTCATCAATAAACACACCTACACACTTGACACTTTCAGAAAAAGGAAGATTTTGATTTTTGATAGATATACTCAAGGAAGCTTTGACTTCGGCTCTTCTGTGATTTGGACAAAACAGCACAGCAGAAGATTTAGAAGCAATAACGATTAGGCTGTTATTGGCTGAGTAGGTGCAAATAGAGTCAGTGTCCTCGCTAATTTCCATAGTAGCAGTCTGGAGGTTCTCAGGATAAAAGAAGTAAAGCAGTTGAGTGTCATCCGCATAAGACTGTAGCTGTGAATTTTGAATGGACTTAGCAATATTGGCTACATAAATTAAAAATAACAAGGGTCCTAAAATTGAGCCCTGAGGCACACCCGAAGTGATAAAGTGCTCATTTGACAAAACTTCAGAAAGTGAGACGCGCTGAGAACGGTGGGTTAGGTATGATTTAAAAAACTGCAGTGCTATTTTATCAAAACCATAAAATTTTAGCTTACCACACGTCAGTGCGTGATCAATTCTATCAAAGGCCTTGGAGAAATCCAGTGAAACTAAGGCGACACACAATTTTTTATCAATGGCCCTGATGATGTCGTCCACTAAATTAAGAAGAGCAGTTGTAGTACTGTATGATTCTCTAAACCCAGACTGATGTACTGGGAGTATGTCACTTGACTCTAAAAAATCTAAGATTTGCAAATAAATGATTTTCTCCAAGATCTTTGACAAAACACTCAAAAGACTGATGGGCCTAAGATCCGTGAAATCGGTGGGCTTCCTGACCTTAGGTATTGGCCTTACTTTTTCTCGTCTCCAAGATTCAGGAAAGTAGCCCTTCTCAAGACACAGATTGATAATATGGGTCAAGTAAGGTAGTATAATAGGGAGAGATAGCTTAATCATAAGAAGAGATATACCGTCAATACCCTTTGCATTTGACTTTCATCATACATACTTTAAACGACGGCAAGGCAATTATAGCAGCGAGCTCTCCCTGTAACTATGCTGTGCACCCCTTTCTAGCTGACTAATTTTGATAAACGATCGCACCAAAATGAAATTAATTTCGGTTAATTATACATCCGCACTTTCCATTTCCCACCACCAGAGCCGGCAGTGTTGAAAATGTACACAGGCTCATAGTTTGTTTACGAACTTTGGGCTAGCAGAGGCTATAGATCGTTGCATACATTGTGCCAGGTCAACAATAATTCATCATTTGTCCATCTCTGATCAAACGCGGCTCGAGCCTTATTGTGGAATACTCCATTTGTGGCCAGTAGGAGTCGATAAAGTTCAGCGTTCATCCGGTTTCAATATACCGGGTGATTCACCCCTGTAACCTTCTTATTATTGAAGATAGAAAAGCGACATTAGGGGGTTGCGAATCATACACGAATTTACATTTTTTGACATATTCACTAGATTTGACGAACTTCCGGTTCGACCGGAAACGACTTCAACTTTCGATTTTTAAAAGGGATATATTTTTACTTAATTCGATCGAGACCTTACACTCGTTTTAAAGATTGTCTAAAAGTTACAAACACCAAATTTTTTCAGTTTCCTTCATTTTTTCAAATAGAAAGGTTTTTTCTATGAGACCATTTTTTCACGAATGATTTGACATTGCATACTTTCTGAATAATTGTAAGAAACGATCATACCCAACAGCAAATAATACGTACCTGCTTCGGTATACCTATAAACTAAGTCCTATTCTTCTAGCTATCCGTAATAACAACCGAGTATCCAAACTCTTAGGTGTACAAACTGACGATTAGCTACGTTGGAGACAACATAGACCGGGAGATGTGGCCAAAAATGGGGGGGTCATGTGATACAGCAGGAAACCTAGTCAGAACGATAGTACTACATGAAAAAATAACTTCTAGCACTGTGCCGTCACTTGAGAGCGGTACATGTAAGTACAGGGGAAAATTAAATGTTCCGTCCAGAAGGGTTCGGAAAAGACTAAATTATTTTTTACGGCTTTCTTTAGTATCACAGATGCCAACAAAATAATCGCGATGCACTTAGTGCCGGAAGCCATAAAAAATTTTCAATTTTCAGGAAATTTCTGTAATTTTTTTACATTTAAAATTTACCAACGCCATACATATTTGCTGGTACAGGGGTGAGAAAACTCGGGTCGCAACCCCTGCTTTAGACCTCTATGGTGGAAAGTCATCGGAAAATGTACGGCATTCATTTCAATCTCTTGTTTAACATCTAAAATAACTTTAAATAATAATTCCGTCTTAAAAATTTAGTTCATATATACTAAGTGACATATAAATCCGAACACCCAGTTTAAATGGTTTTATTTTAATAAAATTTTGTATAAGTACTTAATGAAGCATAATAAGTAAATGATAAAAATTTCAAAATGATTGCACTGCTTTAAAGCCCTTTGACCTTTAATAATGTGTGGATGCACCCTGATGTGCTACGCATTCTCCAACGCGCCTAGGCATGCTTCTGATCAGGTGGTCAATGTCCTCCTGTGGTATCTCATTCCAGGCAACCACCAACTCCTCTCGAAGTGCTTCTAGAGTCCGAGGAGGACGTTGCAAATTGAGCAATCTCCTACCCATCATATCCCACACGTGCTCAATTGGGGATAAGTCGGGAGATCTTGGTGGCCATAGTAACAATGTGACATCATTATGTTGAAAGAAGTCTATTGTGACTCTTGCAACATGTGGTCGGGCATTATCTTGTTGGAAAGTTGAATCTGCCAGGGTGTCAAGATAGGGTAAAAGATGGGGTTCTAGAACTTCGTTTATATAACGCTGCGCGTTCATGTTACCTCTGATGAAGATTAAAGGTGACCTGGAACCATAAGCTATAGCACCCCAAACCATAACTCCAACAGTGTGATATACGTATACATATCTTTCAACAAAAAACTGTGGATTCCTCCTTTCACCACGTCGCCTTCTAACCCTGGCACGACCATCGTGCATGCCTAAACAAAATCGAGACTCGTCATTAAAGACATTCCTGATCCCAGAGTGACCGTTGTCTGCACCACTCAAGGCGATTACGTCGGTGTTCTCGAGTTAAAGGGAGGACCCGATGTGGCCGGTATGAAAACAAGCCAAAACTTCTCATTCGTCGGTAAACACTTCGCATGCCAATAGGTCTTCCGTGTTCTGCAAACCATTCATTTGCAATGGACCTGGTAGAGGAGAAACGGTCCCTTAAGGCCAATTGGGACCTCGGTTGGCCGCGAGGGTCAGAGTGTCGTGCTACTGATCAGCCGGCCGGCCGGGCCGCGAGTTCGAATCTCGCCTTCGCCATGGATGTTGTGTGTTTGTTTTAGGCAGCAGCGGTGGCCGCAGTAGTAGACTCTTCGGTCTCCTGATCAGTCGCCGTGCGCTGTGCGGGTTCGAGTCCCGTCCCAGGAGAAATTTTTCTCTTGGCTATGGATGTTGTGATTGTCCGTAGGTGGTAGATGGTCACTGACTGTCGAACGCGGAGGTACCACCCGGCGGTTCTCGTAGGCGGAGCCAGAATGTGTGCATGTTGCATGCACACGTGTTCCCTCGCCAGAGTCCGTGTGGCGTCCCCCCTTTCCCATGTATCCCCCTATAGCCCCAGGGTACCCAATGGGTGCTTAGGCCTTAGGCCTTCGTTGTAGTTGGAGTATAAACAAAAAATATAATCTTAGGCGGCGATCTTCACGGTCTGTTGTTCTACGGCGGCGTCCAGTGCCCCTTGCTCTTTGCGTACGGCCTTCTCGAAGCCATGCCTGACAACACCTAACCACAGTGCTTCTGTCTCTTCTTTGCAATCTAACTGCAATTGCCCGAAAAGAAAGTCCAGCTTCCCGAAGTGCCACTATACGGCTCCTATCAAACTCACTAAGTTGACGAAATCGTACAGGTCTCCGTACTCTAGGCATCGTAACCGATCGTAAAGGATGTCAAGAACCAAAATCCGCCAACGTTGATTCTTTACTGCGGCTGAAATATTCATTTTTAGAGCGTTAATGAATTAAAAAAAAGCAGAATAAAAACCGGAATGTCCACCTGATAAGGCTGAAAATTTTTTCACTTGTTATTTACAGTAAGATAAATACATTCACCAACTTTCATTAAAATAAAACCATTTGAACTGGGTGTTCGGATTTATATGTCACTTAGTATAAATATAAATACAATAAAATCATAAGATACTATACGGCAATCAATTTTTTACAAAATTATATTAAATATTATCATTTTACCACGTAGCCGTTTATAACAAATGGAACAACATGAAAATATATTAAAATAAAGAAAATATAAATTTTCAAAAATTTAAAGATTTTTAAATGTACTATTTATTAATAACAAAAGTGATATTAAAATTATTTTTGCTATTTTATGTTTATCAAAGATTGAAAAACAAAAAAACATGCCGTACATTTCTATTTACATACCTTTTTGCAGCGTATAAAAATATTGATTAAGTTTTAGGTGTCTCTAATGGTTATTAAATACTGTACGGCATAAACAAAATTATATATATAACTATAAATGATTATGAAAAATTATTATACCGTTCATTTTACATGGAATTAATACAAATTCGTGCACTATACCATAATTGCATTTTAAGTAACATATCGAACATATTTGTATATATCACGAAGAGAATCGGACCTAAAATTGACCCTTGGGAGACACCATACTTTACCCTACTTTTTGCTGATGATGCCCCAGCAGCTTTAACTATTTGTGATCTGTCTTGGAGGAACGATTTTAGGAAATCGACGCTGTCCTCACTGAAACTGTATGCTTCCAATTCCATGGAATGGACAATAGAGTCAAACGCTTTGGCCTGTCTGTACTGTAATCTTGATTGTGGAAACTTTTCAATATTCCAGACCGTAGGTTCAATATTCCCATCGTGGTGTTCCTATTTTCCCTGAAACCATACTGAGAGCCGCTGAAAAAGTTTCCTGTACCAAGAAACTCATTTTTCTACATCTCTCTAAGACTTTGGAGAGGACATGGAGTGAACCACAGCTAGTTTCAAGATAAAATTTAGTACGAAGAACATAACATCAAGTAAAAAATCTAACGTATTCATAAAACAAAGGATATCCTTGTACTTGCAAATTTTGAAGGAAATCCTCCAGATGGTATTTATAATAATTTGAAGTGAACACTTTTGCTGTTTGAGTATAAGCATATCCTTCAAAGCTGTGACATAAGTAGGAGGATATTCATAATCTTCACCTTATACTTGGCATAGGAAGCGTATCCTGGTCAGTCGCAGACTTCGTAACGAAAGGTGGTCAAACGATGATGGCGAAAATTGTAGATGTTAGAGATGGTAAAACGTACAAACCTCGTTTACCTTCACCTGGCCGTGACTTCAAAAAATTATATCGGTTCGACGAAGCAAATGTACAATGGCTTGCGGACAGATTTTTAGTTGAGAATGAGGCAACTCGAGGAGGAGCACCTTCGTGTATTCATAAAATGAAGATATGTCTACGCTATCTTGGTGACCTTGGATATCAACAAGGTATTGCTCAGGAACTTGGTGTTAGTCAAGCAATGCTATCTCGGACTGTGGATAGAATTGTGCACAGCATAGTTGCACAGTCGAACGAATGGATCAAGTTTGCAGCTACCAGCCATGAACTGATGGAGGCCAAGCGGATATGGCAAAGCATGTATAAATTTCCGACAGCAATTGGTGTAATTGATTGTACACATATAGGAATCCTGAAACCAAATCGCCATGGAGATGAGTATATCAACCGAAAGGGGAAACCTACTTTAAATGTGCAAGCCACTTGTGATGCCAGAGAGATGTTCTCAAGTGTTGATGTCACTTGGCCTGGATCAGTGCATGATTCCAGAATATAGAGAAATTCACAGACTAGATCACAACTAATAAATAAAGCAAATGTACTACTTGGCGATGACGGTTATGGTATTGAGCCATGCCTTATGACTCCCTCCAGAAATCCTACTCCAGGTGCAAGAATAAATTATAATAAGCTTTTAGAACAAGAAAGAGTTATAATTGAACGCTGTTTCGGCCAACTGAAACGCCGGTTTCCTATCCTACTGTATGTTTGCCGCGTAAAGTTGGAAAATGTGCCGAAAATAATTATTGCTTGTATTGTACTCCATAATGTTGCGAAGAGCTTGGGCGATCCTGACTTTGATTTAGTTGAACAAGACCCAGATGGAGATGAAGGAAATCATGAGAATGACGAACTTCCTCTCCGCCAACTAGGTCAACAATTAAGAAGAAACTTGAGTATTATAATAAATAGTTATACTGATTAAAGTATATTTATAAGCTATAATAAGTTTTATTTTCGTGAACATCATAAGTTACAGGTGGCTACTGACGCTGCATCATTTCTAATTTCGTTTTATAATAATCTTATTGTAAAAATTTGTTTGGTACTGCTGTAATAGCAGTTAACCCTTTGGTTTCCTCAGTTTCGTATTTCTCTGTTTCAAATTTTGTTTTTGGTGGCAATGTTTTCTGAATTGCTGGCGCTCTAATACTAACTCACTGCGCTCGATATATAGTTCACTTCCTTCTTCTTGAACTCTATCGACCTGAATGGCACCTCTAATTTTCCCAATTGTAGGATAACAGTCACCTTACATAGCTTTCTAGCAACTTTCTTTCCCAATCTAACAATTTAATTGCTTTATTACCAGTTTTTTTTTAGATCTGTTTTTTCTTCAATCTTGATTTCATGTTGTTGGTTTATTTCAATAAACCTTTAGTATCCAATGGTTTACCCTATGTTGATTCGTATTTTTTCAACATCTTCTTCAAGGCATCATACTTTCTCAATTTTATTTTTGGAACTTGTGACTTTAGCAAAATAATGTGAGCAATGGCAATTTCATCTGCGATGAACTGCGGCTCATTGCCATTATTTTCTATAGTTACCTCATCACTTGCGGATGACATGCTTATTATTAATTTGATAAAAAACTGTATCCGGTAAAAATACGGAACGAACTCCCACGTCAACTACAAGCTGGAACAAGTCAGAACATGTCGCTCAAGATATAAATACCAGTCAACCTTTTACTTCTTCTTGGATGATATCCTCGCGAGTATAAGGTAATCATTATGAATATGAAAACAAAGATATGCTTATACTTCTACCTTTTTCTCCAAAGCAAGACCTTCTACATTTACCTTATGCTTCCGAGGATACGCTTCTCTTTTGTGAATACGGCTCATTGTCACGAAATTCTTACATAGCCTCAAAACATTCTTACCTAGTGTCACTTATCAATAAGGATTTTTTCGCGAGTCCACGGTGTAGCACAGTGCACTACCGGGAACCGATTATCAAATTTTCGCGAAGAACGGGAATAGGGGAAGACGGATGTGACGTCTCCGAATGTCAAAAAATCACGTGGTACGAGTACCCATCTAACGTCTGTGAGGTACTAGCGGGTGACAGGTCTTGTGTCAATTTCATTTAATAACAGGCATCTCAATTGAACATTTGTGTTATTGTGTTATTAAATCATAAATGGAGCAACACGTCGACCTGATTTTAAATGACGAGAGAGAAGGTCATCGAAGATATATGAACCGCACTTGTCATATTAAACATTTTGCGCAACATGCGCCATCTAACCACTCCCGGTGTAACTTGAAACTGTCAAAACTTCGAGAGGAAGGGGAAATTCCGTCTGTTCCCGCTCCGGTTCACTACGGGATCTCGCGAAAAAATCTCTAATTTTGCATAATACCCTTCTAGAACGTACGATATGCAATATGGAGAGAGATAATTATGAATTTACAAGGTCTTCAATGAATGTGCGTTCTAATTATAATGTTCACAACTTCATCACTGGGCGTACTAAATAACTGATCCACCCGGCTTGTTTACAACTTCCTTGAAACAGTTACAATGATAAAGAGAACGGAACGGTAGTGTTTCAGAAACGCCCGGAGTCCAACAGAGAACGTTGACAAAAAAGTCCGTGTTCATTAGCGTCTGCTGGAAGAATAAACAAGCGTGCTGTGTACGCGAACTAAAGAGAAACAACAGTTCTAGGAAGCAGGGTTAATTTTTCAGGAAGCAATATGCAAATGGCAATTGTGCTTCAACCCCTCTATAACTTCATTTAAGGCTTTTGGAAGTTCATTGTTACTTTGTTCCTCTCTCCGAGGCAACTGCCGGCCTCATAGGCGTACAGAGTCAGAGTCAGTTTTCCGAATCATTCATTTTAAAAGAAACATAAGGTGTTTTCACTTTTACTTTACAAGCCAACTGGCTAAGAAGCATCGGCTCAAAAAAGTTTTGAAAATGAGATATTATGTTCCACTTTCAACGCCACTGAGTGAGGAAGTATTGAATCAATCTTTTACACAGCATTAAAAGCACAGCAAGGTCGAAAATGCTTTTTCGTTTTTTAAAAACGGTCCAGTGGCAGCTAAGAAAAAGGCCAACATCGAAAAAAAGGGACTTCTTAAAATAGGTTGTAGCATGTTTCTGAATTAAATACCTTCAAATTTCGATTCCTAGTATTGTATCCATGAAAAATATTGATGTTGAGAAAAAATCTATTTAGATTTCTTATCGTATGTTATTACGTATACTAAGTAATAAAAGTTGGTGAATGTGTTTATCTTACTGTAAATAACAAGTGAAAAAATTTTCAGCCTTATCAGTTGGACATTCCGGTTTTTATACTGCTTTTTTTAAATTCACTAACGCTCTAAAAATGAATATTTCAGCCGCAGTAAAGAATCAACGTTGGCGGATTTTGGTTCTTGACATCCTTTACGATCGGTTACGATGCCTAGAGTACGGAGACCTGTACGATTTCGTCAACTTAGTGAGTTTCGGGAAGATGGACATTCTATTCGGGCAATTGCAGTTAGAGTGCAAAGAAGTGTAGACACTGTGGTTAGGTGTTGTCAGGCATGGCTTCGAGAAGGCCGTACGCAAAGAGCAAGGGGCACTGGACGCCGCCGTAGAACAACAGACCGTGAAGATCGCCGCCTAAGATTATTGGCCTTAAGGGACCGTTTCTCCACTACCAGGTCCATTGCAAATGAATGGTTTGCAGAACACGGAAGACATATTGGCATGCGAAGTGTTTACCGACGAATGAGAAGTTTTGGCTTGTTTTCATACCGGCCACACTGGGTCCTCCCTTTAACTCGAGAACACCGACGTAATCGCCTTGAGTGGTGCAGACAACGGTCACTATGGGATCAGGAATGGAACAGTACGGTCTTTAGTGACGAGTCTCGATTTTGTTTACGCATGCACGATGGTCGTGCCAGGGTTAGAAGACGACGTGGTGAAAGGAGGAATCCACAGTTTTTTGTTGAAAGACATGTTCATCACACTGTTGGAGTTATGGTTTGGGGTGCTATAGCTTATGGTTCCAGGTCACCGTTAATCTTCATCAGAGGTAACATGAACGCGCAGCGTTATATCCACGAAGTTCTAGAACCCCATCTTTTACCCTATTTTGACACCCTGGCAGATCCAACTTTCCAACAAGATAATGCCCGACCACATGTTGCAAGAGACACAATAGACTTCTTTCAACATAATGATGTCACATTGTTACCATGGCCACCAAGATCTCCCGACTTATCCCCAATTGAGCACCTGTGGGATATGATGGGTAGGAGATTGCTCAATTTGCAACGTCCTCCTCAGACTCTAGAAGCACTTCGAGAGGAGTTGGTGGTTGCCTGGAATGAGATACCACAGGAGGACATTGACCACCTGATCAGAAGCACGCCTAGGCGCGTTGGAGAATGCGTAGCACATCAGGGTGCATCCACACATTATTAAAGGTCAACGGGCTTTAAAGCAGTGCAATCGTTTTGAAATTTTTATCATTTACTTATTATGCTTCATTAAGTACTTATACAAAATTTTATTAAAATAAAACCATTTAAACTGGGTGTTCGGATTTATATGTCACTTATATTTCGAGTATGTAAAAAATTGTTCAATTTTTTTGTCACTCAGTATATATTTATAGGATGAATGTTAAAATTCGTTACAATAGTCTTACTAGAATTCAGGATCACCCGATTTTTTTGGTGTCAGGATAAGCATTTACGAATAAAAACTTAGCTAGGAAAACTATTTTGGAATTATTATACATGGTGTCCGAGAGTACATTCCTAAATCGCTGACAATTATACATGGTGTCCCAATTTTGCTCCTCATCAAAAACATTTTTTTAGATGGAAGACCGTACTTTTTATCGGAAAGGCCATTTTAAAAGAATAATATTATTAGTTATTGGGCTATTGGGTATTGTATCTAAAAAAAAAACATCAAAGTCTGACAAACTGCTTATCTGCTATCTTGACAGTTTGCATTAATCTAGACATATACGTAATTTACAAAAGTATATAGACAAATTAGTATTGTGCTGTATTTCTTCTTAACTTGTTTTATTAATACACCAGCCTGTATACATAATTCGTTATAGTATAATACTCACTTATACAGAAATAAATTCATAAACTCCCTTCAATAAAAAATTTATTGAAAAAACTGGAATTATGAAGGACAAAAATATATAGACAAAGCAAAACAATTGTAGAAAAAAGAAGCAAAGTCAATATTTTGTAGCATAACCATTATTATCATTATTATCAATCACCGCCTGGCATCGTCTCGGCATAGATTGTAGAAGTTTCCTGATATAAGATTCATCAATCTGTCTCCACTTTTGCTCTAAAGCGGCAAACAGTTCTTCCTTGTTTACATAATGTTTATCTCGTATTTGCTTATCTAAGTATTCCCCTAGATTTTCGATGTGATTTATATCGGGAGACTGTGAGGGCCATTTGAGAACTGGTTTTTTCATCCAGAAAGAATTTCTTTTCGAGATTTGAAGTGTGCTTTGGGTCATTGTCTTGCTGGGAGATTGACCTTAAGGCATATTTTCCATATAGGGTAACGTGACATGCTTTAGTATGTCTGTGTATACAAACTTATCCATAATGCCATCTATTCTATGTAAAGGTCCCATCCCAAACCCCAAAAAGTACCCCCAAACCATAACAGACCCGCCTCAATGTTTGACAGTGGGCAAAGTGTACTTGGGGTTCAATCTTTGTCCACTAGGACGTCTAACGTAATGAACACCATCTGATCCAAACATATTGAACTTGGATTCGTCACTGAAACATACCCTCTTCCAGTCACAGATGCTACAATCAAGATGCGACCGTGCAAATTGTACTCGCACCTTACGGTTTTTCCTAGAGATTAGCGGCTTCCTAATCGGGCGACGTGCAAATAGCTTCAAATCATTTAATCTTTTACTTATAGTTTTAGTAGAAACACTGACAATTGCTTTTGTCTAGATTTCGGTT